ATAATTGATTCAGCTAATCCATAAGGATGACAAATCTACTGAAGGAGTGTGTTTAATTTATGGTATCTTGACTTGTACTGTATGGAGTTGATGTTTTGCGGCCTGAAAATGGAATCAATGGCCATGTTTTTTTGCAGAAATTCTCTGTGGTGTGTGTTGGATTGTTTTGTTTCAGTCCCACAAACGTGAGCATTTGCTAAAAGTATAAAATTACTAATAGTGTTTAAGACGGCGTTTTGTTAAGGCTAAACAAGTCAATTCTTCAAAAGCAATGATGGAATTCCGACGAGGAGTGGTGTTCAAGGAATTAACATAGGCCTGTAGGCATGATATAGTTTTTAATAATGGTTTGTAGGAAAGTAACTATGACCAGACTAGAGGGTGGAAAAATTAATTGTGCCAAGGGGCGCCAAAATGCTAAATCCGGCCCTGCAAGTAGTCGATTGAAACTGAATATAATTCAGAACAGCTGGTTTAAACGCTTAAGGTAACATAGCAGTCCCTATCCCGCCCATGTTAAAATGGCAGTTTTTAGGTACACATAACTTTTACAAATATTAACCTATCAACTTGACATTTTTTACTAAGTTTAATACACCATTACCAACAATAATATGAAGAAAAAAGTGTTTAAGCAAAATAAAATTTTTAGTATGATTTTTAAAATTTTATAAAATCTATATAAATAAAATTACAGTTTTGTCTGTACATTGCTTAGAATCATGCAGTTTTTGGTTATTTTTACGTTTTATAGCCTAAGAAAGCCGAAACGAGTCTTATCTCAATTTCTGTCTGTATGTCTGTTTGTCTGTTTGTTTGTATGTTGATTCTGTGACTCCGTCTGTAACGCCAATATGTCATTTTACTCCTAGAAAACTAGAGTACCGATCAAGGTTCTAATCGTTTTCCTGTATTTACTGGATTAGTGAGAGTTTCTTTGGCTATAAAAACATGTCCTCGCTTCTTTGAAAACAAAATAACGAACCACCACAAAAACCCAATTTTGTTCCATTTTTGTCAAATTTTCTCCCAATGTTTACTATTACATTTTATGAAATAACGATCAGCTGTTTGGATTAGTTCTCACTTCTAGCTGTCACTGATATGTTTACATTAAAAGTTGTTTACAAATACCGCAAGCATTTCCGATCAAGTTTAGTCAGCACATCCAAACCAAGTGAGATTAAAAACGTTGTGCCTTACTTAACCGGTTTAATTAATCGCAAGTGCAACGATTGTTCTTGAGTTTTGATAACCGGGGAAAATACATGAATCAGTGTTGTATTAGTGCAAGGAAACTTACATTTTTTTAATCATCGGCACCAATACCGTAGCTTACAAAGGTTTCCACTCATTGACGGCGCTTCAAGGACAGTTGTGTAAAGTGCAAAGTAAAAAATCACAACTGCAGTGGGTGATCGTGGATGTTGCTGCGATCTTGGAAGATCTGTCTGATTTCGCTGTGATCGTACCGTAACGGAGGTTTAATTTAACAGATGTAGCTAAACTCGCTTTTTCAATGTGTCACTTTTGGTTTCTACTTACTTACGTTTCGACAACGATATCGGTACTTTTCCTACTTAGGAAATAAAACTACAAACGTACAAAACCCCAGATTTGTGCGTTTTTTGTCACATTTCCTCCGAATGTTTGCTAGATATATGTACCTACCGATTATCGTTTAGAGATTACGTAATCTTTTAAATGAGAAACCTTTGTTTGGATAAAGGTGGTTTCTTCAAACTGCCATTAATATGTTAACATTAAAAGCTGCTTTTAAATAATGCTATTAATGGGAAATAACTTTGATTTTCGAAAACTAAAAAAAATTTAAAACCAAAGGAGATAAATAACTTCGGTACTGCACCACATCAAGTGAACGTTTTTTTAGCAAACCATAGTAAGTTTTTAAAGCTTTACGTTGTTAATGTTACATGTTACATGTTTTGTGCCCTGTGTATTTATTTATTTATATATTTGCCAACAGATTAATTAACACCTATAATACAGTTTGATTAGAAGGACAGTTTGAATTAGTCGTAAGTACTACAGTTCTTTTCTCAAATGTAAACATTGGTTTTTGGTACTGCTACTTTTCCTTAGAACCGTTGGTAGCAGTAAGAATAATTTTTACATACAAACACATCACTATTTTCATTTTCACTATTTATTTATAAACACTGCACCTTATTGCTTATTAAATTTAATTGATGTCTTACTGTATAATTTTTAGCGTTTTCTGTCTAGACTCAAAAATGTTGTGTGGACTCAATTCTGTATTTGTGTGTGTATGTCTGTTGGTAACGCATTAATGTCCTTATTATTCGTGGAAAAGACAAGAGCACCATTGTTAATAACAATTTCGACCCGAATAAAGTGTGCAGTAGTGAGGTTGAGGTAGTGTTTTAACTACTTTTAACCAGTGTGAAAAGTAACTTTAAATTACAGGCCTACCTTAGGGCTATGCCTCATAGATCTATACTGTAAAGCAATTCCTTTCATCGTTTGATATAAAATATGGACTAACACGATCGGGTGACATTTAATTGCGAAGCATTCGTTTTGGCTTTGAAACTGTCAGATATTGTATTTGAGAAGGTTTATATGTATTCATAACCAGTTATAGTTTTGCCATCATATGTGGAAAAATGCACACTAAATATGCAAACCAACTCCTGTTCTGAATATAAGGTTTTAACTTACTACTAGATTCCCGTACGTAGAACGGGCAAACAGCTAGTATTTTATAATTTGTTAACATAAAATATTTTTTTAATTCAAAGGTTTTTGGTTGTCATGGAAACTGATTCGTATTATTGTTCCTTATCATATGAGGAACACACACACAAATTTTTATTGAAATTGGATTATAATTGAGCAAGAAAAGTGTACCTGACTAAAAACCACTTGACTTTCGGAAAACGACAGAAGTACCCCCTGTCGCGGGTATATATGTATGTATGTAGGACCTTTGGGCATGCTAAAGTAAGAGTGTATAAAAGTCGCTGTAATACTTAAAATAATTTTTTCTTCCATAATATTTGGTATGTACGTGTTCAGGAAAGTGTGTTCTTCAAAACTAAATAATAAAGAATGTTTACATAAATTTTATATTTGACGGCGTACTCTCTGCGTCATGATTAGTAGTAGGACCTTGGGCATGCTAAATTAACCCTAGCGCTGGCAAACGCCGGATATACGGCGCCAATGCAGGTGTCACGGTAGGCCTATATATTTTTTTTTTTTTTTTTTTAGTAGTTTTGTTCACTTTTTAGGGCTACTGTTGTAATAAATAAGTTAAATAATACAAACCAGAGTACCCTGGAATTATATATTATATAAGGTGTACGGTTTTGTACATGACCTGGGTTGGATGATTATTTGGTACTAGCGCGGGGGTACGATCGACATAGTAATAGGGCTATCAAACAAAATACACAACATAAGCTATATAAACTATATATTTTTGGAATCAGCACAAAATTTACCACAACTTTGCAATTTATCTTTTGATGATAAGTCTTACATGCACTTAGCAATACGACGGAATATAAAAACATTTTATAAAAAAATTAATACTGTAATGCCAACAATTTTAATTTGGAAAAACTAAAAAAAAATTTTTTGTGGTAACCATGTAAACCACCTATATTATTGTTCTTTGTGTTATTCTGAACAAAATGATATATAACAATCCATACCATAGTTATGTTGCTATTTCAAATTTTTATGATGGTTTAAAAATTATATTACATATAATCAATAATATCCCTATGCCAGTACAGCGTTACACTAGTGCCAGCTCTAGGGTTAAGCTGCAAGAGTTTACGGTAATAAAAGTAGTTGAAAAAAAATTTCTTCCTTAATATTTATTATCTACGTGTTCAGAAAAGTCTGTTCTACAAAACTAAATAATAAATTTTTTTTTTTATTTCATATTTGACTGCTGGGTTACCTTAAAGAAACATTCTGGCAGTTTTAACAGGGAAAATCATTTTATCATTTAAACAAATATTACTTGACAACCTATTTCTTTCACCTAGCTCTCTGTTCTTTCATATCTCAACCGATGTATCTTTAAATACCTACTACTGAGATAATATGCTATGGTATGAATTGAGTTTGGTTTCTACTGACACCCTTCAGCTTATTGGACAGTTTTTAAATACCTATCACAACAATTGACATTTGCTTTACCAACCAAAAGATTGGTATGCTGACATAGTTCTGACATTATTAAATAAATCGTCCATACCTATCCTTTATATTACTTTCACTGCATTCATTTGCTAAATAAATAAGTAAACAATGAAAAGTAAAAACAATGACAGATAGTTTGTTTTGAAACAGTTGTTTGGTTAAAATAACATTCATTTGGAAAAGAACTCGTCACCTGTAGAAGGAATTTAAATACGTAAACACGCTAGAAAGCTAGTGACGCTATTTTTCTATGTTTATCAGTCATACTGTTATCCGTTCTAATATCCGTGAAAATCACTCACCCTCATTGAATCTATGTACATCTTAATTTCCTAAATTCATTTGTTCAAACTATTGGATATTTAGTCGAAATAAAAGTAAAAAAATCAGCCGCACCCAAACGCAACCACACATGAACACACGCCAAACAACGTTGTAGATTTTACAAAAGGATAGTAAGTCTACTTGCAGGATCCTAGGTCAATGATAACATTGTGTTTGATCTATGTCATCCATCTGTTTATCTCCGGATAAAACCTGCCAGAGGTTGAGTTAGTAATTTAAAATCGTTATTCCTGGTCATCCTTGATCTCCAATGTACTTGTTTCTATCAATCTATCAACCCAAGCTATCTGCAACGAAGCCGAAACGTCAGCAACTAATGTTCTACCCAGTATTCCTACACAGTCGGACCCAGAAGACCCAGTACTAAACTAAATGACTTGTAAATCTATAATTTTTATTTACCATGCTTAATGAACAAGTAATTGTGAAACTAACAAACCTGTTGTGCTTTTTAGGAAAGTCCAAAATGAATCAGCCACAGGTTCCTCGACCAGCAACCGTGTGCGCACAACACTTACTATTACAGTCGAGACAATTGACTTTGACACTCAGGCATGCATGTTGCGGCTCAAAGGGCGAAACATTGAGGAGAACCAGTACGTCAAGGTGAAATGGAAAACCATTGTACTAGCGTTAAATATAATCTTGTTTATACTAACATCATACTTTAGTGTATATTTTGTAATGCATCATTTTGAGTACCTAATCATTTTCTGCGTGACTACGATTGAGAATATGGGATTTTCCCACGTATTTAAAATTGGATGTCAGACATGCAAATGTGTTGATCATAGGTGACAAAATACCCTTCATTAAAAATATTATTATAAAAAAAGTATATTGGCACTTATCCATAGGTATAGGTTATTGGTTTTTTTTTTATGGTCTCACTGAGTTTCTAGGTTACTGAAAATAAGTACAGACTGCCATTGTAAGGTGTTGGTCCAACACCTTTTTAACAGAGATCATTGGAAAACATTTATTGAGAGTCCTGATAAGTTATTTCATGTCTTTTTTGTTTAATTATCATGTTACATACTTTAATTATGATTAAAGTACATCAGGTACTAACTATGACTCAATTACTCACATTTAATTTGTAAGCATTCAGCAGTTTCCAATGCTTGATTGATTTTTCAGCTTCTTTTCAAGAGGAGCTATGGCCCTCCTGCAGGTGCCCTTGTTTGGCGTCAGGAGATTTGATGGGTTTGAGGGTTTTCATTGTGAATGTAACAAACAAGTTGCAGTTTTATGAACTATGTGAGGTAGACAAAATATTATTTTTTAACAATGTAGAATATAAACTCATATCTGCTTAGTCGATGACACCCTTTAAAATACTAAGTAAGCAATATTTAGATTGTGTGATCTGTATTGAGTGAAAAATAAAGATAATAATTTTTACAGATGGGCGCATACCATACCTTGGACCTAGAAGTCAACCGCAAATTTGCACTCAGTAAACCAGAGTGGGATTCCATTGCACTTGAACGTATCGACATTGCTTGTGACCCAACTCAGGTATAAGAAATGAGTTCTTCTGAAATAATATTTTATATGTATATTAAATATGATTTCAATAATATAATCAATTTCTGAATCCATTCAATTGATTTTAAACTCCCATTTTAATGTAGGCCTATAAAATCCAATATTAAGACCTAAAAAAACTGAAACAGTTGAAGCATTTTACTTGTTGCCACTTGTTTTACTCCTGCCACTTTTGAAACATCAAATTTAAATAACTATAAACAAATTGGATTAGCCATGGTTTTCAGTTATTTGTGACTACTCTGTCCATCATTACCTCAAATGATCTAGGGTTGTTTGCTAAATTATCATGAAATACATTAAATGTAAGAGATTAATATTCTATTGATAAATATAACTTTTAGAACGCTGACGTTGCGGCTGTGATCATGCAAGAAGGCCTGGCACATATCTGCCTCATCACTGCGAGCATGACACTTGTTAGAGCCAAGATTGACCATGTCATCCCTCGTAAGCGCAAAGGCAACGTAAAGCAACATGAGAAGGTAACAATACAACTGGAGGGTTACATTAAAACCAGATAAACACATACAGAAAACTGATACTAACCCTTTGACGACAACCCATGAGAGTATAAATAAAATAAAAGGTTAAATTACTTTGATTTTGTTTAGTGATTCCTTTAACACCTCCTCTATGGGTGGATGACGATTGTTTCGGCGACTATGTCACCTTCTTTGGATACTTGTCAAAAATATCAATCTTCGCTCTTATTGAGGTCGTCAAAACATCAAACCCGAATATTTAGATAAGATATAGAAAATAAATACTCAACTACAACTGTGGCCACAGGTACTCACTGCTTGGTTGACATGTCCGAAGTGTAGGGATGGGCGAGTAGTGTTTTTTTGAGTCGAGTCGAGTCGAGTAATTAGCCCTAATCCTCGAGTATCGAGTCGAGTCGAGTCGAGTAGTTCACGAGAAAATCAACAATTTTATTTTACATATATTCCATCTTCATTTTTACGAACAAAGCATTTCTCAATTCACCAAAAATAGACCTGGTTAAAAACTTTTATACCATATAAAAAACACAATATGTACTCGCCTTTACTACTTCCTTCACCGCTTCATACGTCGCAAACCTGTTTCCCTCCCTTCCCATTCCATTTTAAGATTGCAGATGCCTTAATTGAATCGTCATAAACAGTTCCCACACTCCGGACAGCTCGGATTGACTATTTCCCTCACCACTTCCTACGTCTCGGACCTGTTTTCCTCCGTTCCCATAGCATTTTAGGATTTCAGATACCTTATTCTAATCGTCATAAACAGTTCCCACACTCCAGATTACTCGCCTTTACTGCTTCCTTCACCACTTCCTATGTCGCGGACCTGTTTCCCTCCCTTCCCATAGCATTTTAGGATCGCTAATACATTAATCTAATCGTCATAAACAGTTCCCACACTCCAGACAGTTCACCTTGACTACTTCCTTCACCACTTCCTACGTCACGGACCTGTTTCCCTCCCTTCCCGTAGTATTTCAGGATTGGAAATACCTTAATATAATCGTCACAAACAGTTCCCACACTCCGGATAGCTCATCTTGACTACTTCCTCCACCACATCGTACGTCATGGACCTGTTTTCCTCCCTTCCCATAGCAATTTAGGATTGCAGATACCTTAACCTAATCGCCATAAACAGTTCCCACACTCCGGACTACTCGCCTTGACTACTTCCTTCAAGACTTCCTACGTCACGGACCTGTTTTCCTCCCTTCCCATAGCTTTTTAAGATTGCAAATACCTTAATCTAATCGTCATAAACAGTTCCCACACTCCAGATTACTCGCCTTTACTGCTTCCTTCACCACTTCCTATGTCGCGGACCTGTTTCCCTCCCTTCCCATAGCATTTTAGGATCGCTAATACATTAATCTAATCGTCATAAACAGTTCCCACACTCCAGACAGTTCACCTTGACTACTTCCTTCACCACTTCCTACGTCACGGACCTGTTTCCCTCCCTTCCCGTAGTATTTCAGGATTGGAAATACCTTAATATAATCGTCACAAACAGTTCCCACACTCCGGATAGCTCATCTTGACTACTTCCTCCACCACATCGTACGTCATGGACCTGTTTTCCTCCCTTCCCATAGCAATTTAGGATTGCAGATACCTTAACCTAATCGCCATAAACAGTTCCCACACTCCGGACTACTCGCCTTGACTACTTCCTTCAAGACTTCCTACGTCACGGACCTGTTTTCCTCCCTTCCCATAGCTTTTTAAGATTGCAAATACCTTAATCTAATCGTCATAAACAGTTCCCACACTCTGGACAGCTCTCCTTGACTACTTCCTTCACCACTTCCTATGTCGTGGACCTGTTTCCCTCCCTTCCTATAGCATTTTAGGATTGCAGATACCTTAATCTAATCGTCATAAACAGTTCCTACACTCCGGACTACTCGCCTTGACTACTTTCTTCACCTCTTCCTAAGTCGCGGACCTGTTTCCCACCCTTCCCATAGTATTTCAGGATTGGAAATACCCTAATCGTCATAAACAGTTCCTACACTTCGCACTACTGGCCTTGACTATTTTTTCCACCTCTTCCTAAGTCACCGACCTGTTTTCCTCCCTTCCCATAGCATTTTAGGATTGCAGATACCTTAATCTAATTAAAATAAACTAAGCAAAAATCTGCTACCCAATAAATATAAAAAGAGGTGTATGAGTTAAAGCTAATTAAAGATTATTCCATCCTCTCATTAATTTAACTACCGTACTCGACATTGACAGAAATTGGGTTTTCAGTTGTTGTATAATATGCTCAATGGTATAATCTGATTGTTCATTTCTTTTGCTCTGTATATACACATTGTTATTTCCTTTTGGTCTGTGTAAACATATGCTACATATCCTCGGAAAGTGCTTCAAGAGCTTTCTGCGCATGCGCAAGCTGAGGTGCCTGTGGGTACAGCACGTCGAGTTATGCCTTAAAATGTAAACAAAATGACAAAAATGGCGGAATGTTTTCTCATAAGGCCCATGTTAAATTTTCAAAAGTTTGTACTCATATTATGGCGAAAATAGATTTTTCCTGGCTATACCACTGGTCTAGAACTTATTTTTGACACAGAACTTAGTTATTCCGTAAATATAAACGTTTTTGTTAGGGCCGATTCCCAGATCGAGTTGATAATTATTCAAACATAACTCGTATTATATATAGTAGGATTGCAAAAAAAATTGCAAAAATATGGAACTAAGTGTTTATTTTAAAATAGGCCTACTGTACATGTTTAAATTTGACTAAAGCATGAGATCTAATAAAGTTTCCTCTAATTTATAAATAGGCTTATAAGTATTTATCTAAGTCATTTCTCAGTTTTTGTATTTATTTGAAATTCCATGAAATTGTCTTAGTTAACTCATTAGTTTATAATTTTTTTTTATTACGTACCTAGCCTACATCTTGGTCTACAAATACTCTTTGTAAGGTAAGTTTTTTCCCCCAAGTGAGTAAAAACTAACTTCCTATATAATGACATTTTCTCACTAATTATAGGCTATATCTTCAAAATTTGTTTAACTATGAAAAAGTCACCAAGTCTAGCTAAAAACATAATCATAAATGAGGATATTATTTAAATACAGAATAACTAATCAAACAAAATTTTTAACACTTATTTCTCAACTTTTTTTCCTTGAAAATGTCAACAGTTTTTCACTTATTTTTAATAAATAAAGATTATCACTTATAATTGTTTTAATGAAGTCCAGATGTGTGAACTTGAAAGAGCAGACAAGAGACATACGTCACTGCCACAAAAACTTTTCTCTACTGTGTATGAATGAACTGTTTATTGTGTGAAGCCCCACCCACCGTCTAACGGGACATGAGGGAGGAAAAGAGAAAGTTTGGCAGAATTTGCCCTTGTTCTAAAGCCTGGTTCACATGCCCTCCCTCACCCTCGGCCTCAGTCGCTTGCAGATTTCCATTACACAAGAGTGTTAATTTTTTTGAAATACTGTAAATGTTTGAATTTGACTATGATGAGATCTAATAAAGTTTCCTCTAATTTATAAATAGGCTTAACTTTTTAAGTATTAATCTAAGTCATTTGTCAGTTTTTGTATTTCTTTTTAAAAGCAATTGCAGTTATACATTAAAAAAATTACAAACATCTTGGCCTATAAATACATTTTGTAAGGAGAGTCTTTTCTCTAGTGAGTAAAAACGATCGTGAACAAGGAATGAACTGTGCTAAAACAGCACATTGTCAATGTTTACAAAAGTATTTTGACTGAAACCCTGGTATTTTTTAAAGACATTGCATAATAGCCTATGTCGACGTCTGTGGAGAAAAGTATGGCAATAGATAGGTTTTACTTTTAGCCTACAATAAAGTTTATGTTTTGGGACTAAAATCTCCAAAAGACCAAAAGAGTGCTTTTAACAAACATTTCATAGTTTTATTTAGTAACAAAAGTGTTTGACTATGTTCCCAATTATACCAAGAACAAGGTTCGGCAGAGTGGATTCACTGTGAACCGGCCTGCCTGGCCCTTATGCACGACGTCACTATAACCTCCGTGTAGGCGTAGGGGTGTCAACAATGGATCGGAACAATCAAAGTTTTGAACCTGTCTGTAACCTAGTTTTTTATACTTAAATACTCATTATTTATAATTGTCGATACCCTTTCCACCCACAATAAAACATTTAACGATGTCAAAGCAATCGTCATTTGCTCCATTGAAACACGAAAGTCGATTGGCTGACATGGTAGTGCACTGACGCCTCCTGACCAATGAGAACTGTTGTTACATACTTTTATTGTCATCATTCACCAATCGTTTTAACATTACAAAATCGACACGGACTAAGGCTCATAATATTTTTCAATAAATACATTATGTTATAGTAGCACTTAAAACTTATATATAAATATAAATACTTATATATTATATAAATATAATACGTATTTTATATAAATACCGGAGTGAGACAAGGTGATGGTCTATCGCCATTATTATTTAATATAGCACTAGAAGAAGCTCTCAAGAAAACAAGAAATAGTGAAGGAGGGGCAAGACTTACTGATAAAATAAACCTTCTAGCATTCGCAGATGATGTAGCCATTGTAGCTGAAAACAAAAATAATCTCAAAGTGCTAACAGAAGTACTAATTAAAGAAGCAAGAAAAGTGGGTTTACAAATAAATGAAAACAAAGCCAACTACATGAAAATAAGTAGGCAAGATGACGAGGAGGACCACTTAGAAGTATTAAATTATAGGTTCCAGAAAACTAGTATTTTTAAGTATTTGGGAGTGATGATCACAAACAATAATAGAGAAGAAATAGAAATTCAGAGCAGACTCACAGCAGCAGAAAGATCATACTGGAGTTTAATAAAATTATTCAAAAGCAAACTGCTATCAAAAACCACTAAAATAAGAATGTATAAGACTATAGTGCAACCTGTATTGCTATACGGGTCAGAAACTTGGTCTTTTACCAAAAAA